CTCAAACCATGATCTCTTCATCTCTCTGGTTGTTGCTGCTGCTGGCAGCTGCTTCTCGTAAGTCTTTATATAGCTTCTTTAGAGATACTTCATATTAAAAACACTCATGGTTATACATATATAATGTTGTCCTATAACATGTCTGGCTATATTTTCCCCCTCAGGTGTCCATTGTGTTGAACTGACACAGACTGATTCTATGGTCTTAAGTCCTGGTCAGGTTTTGACTCTGTCCTGTAAAATCTCTGGATATTCAGTGACTGACAGCAGCTACTGTACTCACTTCATTCGGCAGCCTGCAGGAAAAGCTCTGGAATGGGTTGGAGAGATATGTGGTGATGGTAACACATATTACAGTGATAAACTGAAAAGTAGATTTCAAGTTACCAGAGAGTCTTCCAGCAACACAGTGACTCTGAAAGGACAGAATATGCAGACTGAGGACACAGCTGTGTATTACTGCGCCAGAGAGTCACAGTGACACAGAGCAGCTACTGCCTTGTTCAAAAATCACACTAGCACTCGGCACACAAATACACAGCTTTGCATTAAAATCTACAGTATTTCTTTGAGTTTCAGTTATATTCAATGTTCACAAAAATAATAGTTAAAGTAAATATTTAACATGTTTTATTTGACATAAAATGAACCACAATGCTTTCTTGTTCTAAAATAGTATTATAGGCCTATGTATTATAAGGCAAAACTATTGCCTCTCTGTTCTAACCTTCTAAAATCTGCTAGCAACAAGTTAAAATAGGGATACTTTTACACTTTTCATTGATATCTCTGTCTTCTCCATTTGCCGCCCACAAACTCATTACACTGACATAATCCTGCCTCCTGATACAGTAATTGTGTTACAAGTGTATTCTTGGCATGTTTCACAAGACAGTGATACGGTGCACAATTTAGGACATCCTCAGACCTCAGTTATATGACAAAGAGGCATTGCACCTCAGACTAAAAGGTTTCAGCCATTAGACTAAACAGCATTGCGCCTCTGACTGAAAGACTTTCAGAAAAAACAATGTTAAGTGTCAGGTCTTGTAAAGTTAGGCATTGGGTGAAACAGCATCAGACAAAAAGCCATCTTTGAAGTCTTTGGTTGCTGTAATATAATTTCAGTCAAAAAAATGGATACTGCAGAATAGATATAATTGCTGATAAGGTCATGATTTAATTGTTTATTTGTTGATCCATTCCCATTCTTATTCTATATCTTACCAAAGTAATTTATTAGCAAGACTAATAAAAACATTAAAAACTATACTATTATTGACGCAACAGACATATATGGAGACAAGGGAGTGTCTACAAAAAAAGAGACATATTTACTGATGTGTGACCCTCAGGAAACACCTGCGTTTTGTTATTGCATCTAAAAAAAATATTAGAAGACAATACAATCAAGAAATTGCTATATCCTTGTCTTCTCAGCAAGTGATATCAGAAGCAAATGATGTGAACCTGATGACTAGAAAAGGTTTCTAATCCAAATTCTGCTAATCAAACTAAATATGATATTATTATTTCAATAAAACTGAGATGATAATTTTCACCTCACAGTATCACTTGTATTTCTGTCTTCACCCTTTCCATCTTCCTCCACTGTATGAGGGTCTCTGAGGGCTTCTATTAATGTTGCTTCCAGATGGATGAGTTGTCTACTTTGATCATAATAATTTTGGGGTTTTGATTTTTGTCTTTCAATGTCAAAAGACAGTTCAAAAGAGGAAAAAGACGTGTCAGAGGAACTTGTTGAGGAAGCCCCAGGTAAATTATGGAAGTTAACACCATTATTAAAGACTCCACCACAGTAGAAGACTAGGAACACAGTTAGAGCCACACTGGTCACAATCACGGCCACTGTGTTGGTCTTACATGCACGTCGACTGTACTTCTGAGCCTTCACCATGTCTCCGTCATTCATCTTGCTTCTCGCCTTTAAAACAATAGAGGAAAACTTGTTAAAACGGAGTAATTTTGAGTATAGACTAACATGTTGTTCTAGAAAGAAACATGCGCCTATCTCACTTACCTTTAATGAACAAATCAATGCAGCAAAACCCAGAAACAAGCAGTTGCAAAACATGATGTTAAATACAGAGCAGCACATGTAGTCTTTTCCTTTCAATTTTACCCTCACATAGACGACTTTAGGTGAAACCCCTCCATTATCTGCCACAGTTTCCCTGGCAGAATCCTGAGAGGGAATCTTATATATGTGTTGATGTTGCATTATGTTCACACAAATTAATCAGCAAGGAGTCATTCATACGCTGCTGCTTCTGTTGTGTGTGTTACTGCATGTTTCTGTTTCCTTATATTGTCCTAAATGTGTTCTGTCAGTTTCCATTAACTTGCCCTTTGTGGTGTGAAAACTGTGTGAACTACTTTCACTGCGTGATAAAAGCTTGCTGTCCTTTTATTTACCGCAGCCACAAAGCCATACAGACGTAGAGCTGGTAGTTATATATGATTACATACACAAGATTTGATTACATGTTTAAATTAAGCATTGAAACACAAGGTTTATTCCACAAACTGACCTATTTCTGTGGTGGGTTTTCCACTGAGGGAACCAACATAGGTCTACCTAATAATGAAAAAAAAAAAAAAACCCCACAGCATTCTGCAAACAGCTCTCATTTTTTCTGCCTGAAGGACATCTGATGAATGTATGTATTATGTATGTAATGTATTAATTAAATACATGATAGATGATAAATGATAAATTATTGCTCTAATAATATGATTCATTTAAGCAATACCTCATGAACGTTTGACTCATTCAAATAGACAGTTGGTTGTTTCATCCCTCAGTGACTTGAACCAATCAATCAAATAAATGATTCAGTGACTCACAGAATTTTTTTAAAAATATATTTGAGGGCAAAAAAAAGCCTAAAAATATTCACTCCCCATAGACTAATATAGTTAGTATACTTGTAAACTATAGTATACTTGTTTAAAAACGAATTTGCAGTAAAGCAAACAAACAAACAAACAGTGTTTCATTGACGTGATCTGGAGCTCTTTCTTAATTTTACCCCGTGTCTACACCATATGTAACTGGCATAACATGACTAAAGACAACAGAACCCATAAACAGTGATTTCTGAGTTCATGACCCCTTTAAAAAGAAAATCTGTATAGACTCTTTATGAAATTTTTAGTGTCGGGAAAGTGACCCTCCCAATGCAAAACAAAACAACCCTGAACGTCTGTTTAGTATTTATGTGCTGCTGATTGGATCTGAAGTGTTACATCACCACTTTCAAGATGAAGAATGCACTCTGCTTACTGCTGCTCTCATTCAGCCTACAACGTGAGTTTTGACACGTCTATTATTAGATCTAGGGTAAACAGATTCCAAATTAAACCAGTCTTTTCAATCTTCTTTTTAGGCATAAAATGTCAAAGTATGGAGTCCACTGAAAGCACAGTTCAGAAAAAGCCTGGAGAAACTCTGACTCTGTCCTGTAGAGGATCCGGGTTCAGCTTTGGCTGCTGTAGCATGCACTGGATCAGACAACAAGCTGGAAAACCACTTGTGTGGATGGGACGTGTTAATAGTGACAGCAGTGGCTATGACTACTCTGAATCCTTCAAAAGTCGAACTGAAATCACCAGAGATAATTCAAAGAGTATGGTGTATCTGAAACTATCAGGCCTGACAGCAGACGACTCAGCCGTGTATTATTGTGCAAAGCAAGCACAGTGACACAAAGGTCTTGCACAGCTGAACAAAAACCACACTGGCTGTTTTATCTCTTGTTACTAGAAGTCAACAGGTGGCAGCAGAGAATTAAAAAAAAAATCTATAAAATGCGACCTAATGAAATGATATACAATCGCTGGAGATGGTACAGTATGCAGTGAAGTTCACTATAAAAGCTCAAACATTAAACAGCACAAAGGCATATCTGATTCCTTTAACACAATGTGTATCTTTTAATGTGTAGATGTTTGGTAGTGGTTACACACATTACAGTGACAAACTAAAAATCAGATTTTTAAGTTACTAGAGACACTTACAGGAGCAAAACAACTCTATAAGGACAGAATATGACGATGAAGGACACAACAGTGTCTTATGATGCACAAGAGTGAACACAGTGATAACCACAAGCAGTTCTTCTCTAAAACATCTTGAATAAAAAGTAAAAAAAATTAAAAAATCCTCATACATATGAATATAAAAGTGCATATGAATCTTACCATATTTCAAGAGATTTTTTTCAGCATTTGTCAGTGCACAAGTTCTCAAAGGACTCAAAATGAATTAGAAAAGATGGAGAAGAAAATGGTGTAAAATCAATTGATGTCCATGAGAGAGAAAAACAAATCTAAAACATGTCAAAGTCTCTAATGAGAGCAATAAATATTAATAATATGAACCCAAACATGAATATTTTTGTAGCATGTAGTTTTGATTAGTAGCTTCATATGATTATGTAAATCTTCTGTTGCATATTTAAACAGTAGGCACAAGTCAGTTTTCACATTCATCTGATCACTAGAGGGTGTGAAGAATCACTTCAGTTCATTCAAACTGTGCTGTGAAACAAACCATGATCTCTTCATCTTCACGTATTTATAGCCTAATAAAATATTGGCTATTCGAACCAAATATACTCTTAGTATTAGTATAGGCCGACTTGTTTTTTTTATTACAGCCCGTGATAATTAATACATTACAAAAACATTGTAAAAATAAAAAATTAGGCTACCTTATAGCTTATACCTTATATATTGGAAAAAAAGTCATCACACACCCTCTACGTCTACTTCTATCATCGTTTGAATTAAGAAAAATCACGTTTAAAAAGAAGGCGCGTGAGGAGGGGGCGGAATATTTGACAAATTACGCTACAGCACTTATATTTGCACTGATTGGCTACTAAATGTGAGCAGACAGAAGCTGCGTTCGAATTTCAATAAGTACATACTTAACGAGCGCTAAAAGAGTACGTACTCTACAGCCACATCTCGTTAAGTATGAATGAGATCCGGTGTCATGAGAAATCGAGAAATCGATCGAAATTGGTTAAAGCTAGAAGGGATACGTATGGTGCTACTGGGCATGCGCACATCAATACAGCGTAATAGCGTAATTTGTACAACAATAATTACTATTTTTTCATTATTGTAAGGGGTAGGTGTAGACGTTAATAAAACACAATCTAATAGGTAGAAAGTTAATTTCATTGTTCGTTTCCGGTCTGAGCTGTATCCCTTCTAGCCACAACCATAGACCATAGACTGTATAAATAGACGGAGGAGCTATGTTTTTTTCTGGATAAAAACACGATAACGTTTACATTTATCAACCGAT